ATATATATATATATATATATATATGTGTGTGTGTGTGTGTGTGTGTGTGTGTGTGTGTGTGCGTGTATTTTTTTCTTCACTTTCTATAGACAAGGACCAATCTCGCTCAACAAATCTTGTTCTCAACAACAGCTCTCCCTCAGTACAGTGTTCTTCCACTTACAGCCTCACGTGCTTATCCACTTCACTCTCTCTCTCTCTTTCTCTAATGCTCTTTTTCTCTTCCCTGTCTCTATAATCACTCACTCCCTCTTTTATTCTCTCCCTCTTCTTGTCTTGCCCTTTTTATTGATCGGAGGCCAGAGTGGGAGCAGGCCTTCTGTGTACTGTAACCCAACACCAGTCCTGACCAGCTGGACCCTGCAGGAAGAAGCAGGCTGAAATAATGATTCCATGGAGTATGATGATTACAGTACACAAGTACAGTAATCATCATACTCCAAGGTGAATGCTAATAGATTTGAAACGCTGTCCTAGCCCAAAACACTAATTTCTGTTTCACTTATGGATTTGGGAGTTTTGAATCTGCAGACTGAGAGCTCTGAGCTGCCCATTGTCTATGTGAAGACACTCTCCCTCCAGCAGTAGCAGCTATTTACAGAGACACATGCTCACAAACTCACGAGGACTAGTAGTGAAGTCACTCCTGAGGCTTAAGAGGAAAAAATAACACAAATTAACATGAAGAGCAGAATTCGAAGGTCTACAAATGAGGATAAGCACCACCAATTGCTCAGACCATTAATACATCGACAGTCTTTTTTTTTTCGATAACTAATAACCCAGACTAGCAAATCTGGCAGCGTTGGCCATGTTTTTGGCCGTTCGACCAATTAAAGATTCAGGTCATGTTTTGGACTTATAAAGCGTTCTCAGCTGTTTTCCTCTCTTTCTCTCTACTGCACACATACACAGATAGGGACTCACAGGTAAATTCAGAGACCAAACAAACACTCACAGGTTTTGTGTCAGGTGGTGTTTGTCATGCTCTGCTAAGTTAATCTTGTGTTTAAAAGGCATTATATATGCTGTACCATTAATGGAGCTTAAATATGTAGCAGGTACAAGGTGCAAACAAAAAAAGCATCACTTTTTAGCACATTGATAGTTTGGCCAATCCATGTACTACTAATTGCCATTCTAATAGGTGTTATTTTGATGTTGTGATCATTAAAGAAAAGGCATCACTTTATTTTTTGTTATAAGGGATAATAATCATTACCTATTTTTATAAGGGATAATAATCGTTACCTATTTTGCTTGAGTTCAGTAATAGAATTAAGAAAGATCCCAAAATTGAGAATGATTAAAACCTTCCTGAAGTTTCATTCACAGTTAACAGCCTATTTTTACATGGCTAGCAGTTGTCAGTGGTTTGATTATATTATTTTAAATTAAACTGATGTTTCATGAAGTATAATCAAACATAATACCACATACAACAGAACTGTGCATTTTATACAATTATGGGTTATGAAATACCAGAGCTAAATTAATCTATAGCCAGTCAAAGGGTTGAAATTGAATACAATGTACTTAGTAAGACTAAATAAGATGTTGATTAACACTGGAGATGTGTCTCAGTGACATGTGAATGACTAAAAGCAGGTCAGTTGGATGGTTAAACAGGACAGGGGCTCAGTCTGGACCCCCTGTGACACACCAACTGGCAGCACACCCTCAGCTGGAGTGTCTCGTGAAAACTGGTACCACTAAATCCAACTTCACTGGAAATGTCGCTCAAATGAACCCGTATTAGAATAAGTGAATCATGTTAAAGTGTGAATCATGAAATCGTGTATGAATTTGGAAAACCTATGATGCCGAGTGCCATACAGGTGGGAATAACACTGCAACTGTGTGTATTCTTTGTGAAAAAAAATCACAGATCAGCTACTCTGAAAATTAGGTGCTATGCAACTCAAATGTTTTATTTAAGACTCTAAGACTCCCTATCTCTCTCTTTCTCTATTTATAGCTGTTTTACCCGAGCTTTCTAAGGTTCTCGTCACAAAATTTTATCGCTCCTATACTTCTTTAAATTAATGGATTATGTCAAACTACCCCCACACTCAATAGAGTAACTTCCCAGCCGCTTCCCAGTGTGTGGCTTACAGCTTCTCCATCACTTCAGGTTGATGGCTAAAATGAGCTCATGGAAGTGAAGCTATTACTGTGTCCTGACTAAGGATGCTTTTAACCACAAAGCTTCCTAAACTAACAAAGTAGGCTACTTGGCAAAGACTACGACAAGCCTACAGACGCCACTGGAGAGAACATTGCATTCAAAAAATTAATTTTGCTGCTAGTTCAATTAAGTTATTTAAAATGAGGTAATGCAACACAATTGCTACTTAATTTCATGCCATGAAAAACACGTCTGTAA